GGTGTAGGCCTCCCCCGCGGCCCCTCGCCCCGCAGCAGGCTCCCGCCGGCCGGTCCGCAGGGAGGCGCGTTGGCCTCCCGAGAGCGGCGCCCGAGGAGCCCCGGACGGGCCCGCGCAGACCTCGCTCGCCCTCCGGGCCCCGGGCGGCAGGAGGAGGCCGCTCTGCCGGGCCCCGGGATGGGCGAGTGCGCGGCCTTCTCGGGCTGTGGGCCGAGCGCGGTGCTCGGCCCGTGAGCCGCGCTGTTCCTCCACAGAAGGGACGAGGGGCTCTCTCGGGGCGCGAAGGGGTCCCCCCACCGCTCTGCGTGGCACCCGAGGAGCCCCGCAATGGCGTCGAATGCATGGAGCGCCCCCGCCTGAGGGGAGCTCCTCGGTCCTCACGCTCGCAGGACCCAGACGGGGCGCGTACGCGGCTCTGCGCTCAGGCCCCCTCCTGAAAACTCCCTACAATGGCCCCGGGGAGCCCCAGGCACCGAGACTGACATTCACAGCCACCCACTCAAGCCCCTTGGATTTAGAATAGCCCCAAATGCCCCATGGAATCCACCAGAATACCCAGAAACTGGACCTCCCCTCATGGGAGCCCATAGGATCAGGCCTGCAGAATACATACCAGCTCCCTAGAAGAGCCCCTTTGAATTCCCAACCAGCCCCATAGAATGTGCAAGGAATATATACAGGCTTTGGTCCCCAGAATTGTGATGGTTGTTTATTTGGGGTCTCATGATATTTTAAATATCTTTGTTGGCTGCCTTGAGTTCCCTGAGGCAGGGTATAAGCTTTTAGAATTATGTAAAGGAAGCCTCAGAGTTACGTCTCTCTGCCCCGATAAAGCAGAGTAGAAAACCCCACATGGAATAGGCTCAAGGCCCTCCCACTGAAACCCATTTCCCCAACAGTCCAAGGGTCTGGGCCCATATGCAGTGGGCCCCATAAAATAATTTCCCCCTCTGAGAAGAAACCCCAGTTAACTTCAGGCCTACAAAATCCAGAGCACTTCTAATGCCTACGTTATAGCAGTCATAATGCACACAACAGCTGGTGTTTGCCCTTCTCCATCTCACAGAGCAAGACTCACGTCTATAGCCCCACAGAACCTGTCTGATTACATAATGCCTTGGGGCAAGGAGACCCTGAGACCCCCCTGCCCCATTTATAACACCCAGATGCCAGATAAAATGTCTCCTGGAACATAAACATATGCACTGCTGCAAACTCTCAGAGAGCTTCAGCTATTGAGGGGATATAGAAATAAAATTAACAATAATAATCAGTGCACCCACCAATTCTCCCTAGGGTGAGTTGTATTCCCTTTGCCTTGGCTCCACATCAGAGCCCTTTCCATGATGCAAGACAATGCAGAAGATGGAAACAACGCCTGATTACACGGGCCTGCCTTGTGGTTCATTTCATAGAGATGATGTATGCCAAGGATGACACAGATAGCTAATCATAGTAACAAAATACAAATGGAAATATAAGACCGGTGGGGCTTCTTGAAGCACACCTGGTTCTCACTTGTTGATTACAGCTTCAATCTTCATCTGTAGCTCTTACAGGCGCAATCCGCTGGGAGTTCCGCCTGAAATTAATGCAATGTGCAAGAATGAACATCTAATTTATTTCAGTGGGGCTCATGCGGGAAATTTCTCGTGGATTTTCCCCTGGATCTGGGGGACATTTGTTCAAATCAGACTACACCACACGGCCGATTAACTGTCCGTCTGATAAAACTGCACCTGATCTCTCTCTCTCCGAGGTGTACACCTCTCTGATAACAGTATTTGAACCATATCCAAGTGTTTGCACTACAGCTATTCTGCTGCAGCTAGAGAAAAAAAAGCCAAGCAAATGATACCAGTACTGCTTGAAGGCGTCTTCTGTGTGCATTCAAAGAGGCCTTCGTAAAGGAAGGTTCTCCTTACAGTGTACTAATTTGTTTCCAAATCCCTCTAATCTGAACCAAACTGGCATCCAGATGGAAAAGAGATCGCTAGACTTTGAGGAAAGTAAAATAGCTATTTTTATTTATTTCACTTAATTTCATTTTTTATCCAATTTTTCATGTAAAAAGTAGGTCACAGGAAGAGCATCAATGCAAACATGTGTTCAGGGTTGCAACTCCCCCCCCCCCAAGCCACTCAATGCTTCCAGCTTCCCTTTCTCTTCCCCACCTCATTACTTCTGCATGAACCCCTCCATTGCCTCTGTGTCCCACCCTGCCAGCCCTTCTGTTTCTTATCCCCCCCAGCATCTGCCATGGTGTTGGCATGACATCGGTGTTCGGCAGGAGTAATCGCTTTCCTATACTTGTACGGAGAAAAACTTCTGCTGCCTGAGGAGTTCCCGTTAACCAGCCTGATTACCAGGAAAGGTTTGGAATCGACTGAGGGGCCTCAAGACTCCGCTCCTTGGCGGAGAGCACGGCGGAAGCCTGGCCCGCACCCAGAGGACCAGCCCCTGCCAGCCGCGAGCGAGGATCCACACCAAAGCGGGCTCCGAAGCATTGCCCGGCTGAGAAAGTGTGAGGGCCAGCAACGCTGAAAGCAAGAGACAGGCAAGTAATCGAGTAATTACCGTAATAGGCTTTGCTGAGGGTCAGCACAGCCTTCGCCATCCAGGTCCTCGGGTGACCGACTTTCCTTCTTCACAAGGCGGGCAGCTGACGGCATCGATCCATCTGTCGGGTCTGTCCCTGCCTTGTTTTCTTGGGGAGTTCCTTGCGAACTAAAAAGATGGCTGCCGTCACGATGGGTGGCTGGACCTGCGTGCAGTGGCACCGGCAGCCGTCGCTTGTTTGACTGACGGACCCGTTCCTGCCACCGCCTCCCCTGCCCACCCCCTGCAGGTCCTGGAAGCAGAGCACCTGGAGGCGGACCTGCACCACGCCCTGGCCAGAGTCGCACAGGCCCCAGCAGGCAGACCTCTGTCCCGAGAAGCTTACGATGCCGCTGTGGGCAGCAGTCAAGACAGCAGAGGGAGAGGCCAAGGGAGTGATGGGTTAACGAGAGCCAACGAAGTCAGGCACTCCTCAGTCTGCCTGCCGTGGGCAATGAACGTTCAAGCTGAGCAGCAGGAGTGTCCGTGGAATGGCAGGGTTTGCAGAAAGAGCTGACTAGACGGAGCGGGTGGAGGATGGGGCTAGGTGGCTGGTTTGAGAGAGCTCCAAGGGTGGGGGGGCCGAGGAAGAACCGAACGGGGGACCTGAGTTGCGCTGGTGGCCGAGGGCTGCATACTTGAGCGGGAAGGAGGGTCGTGGGCAGGGGAGCTGTGCCAGTGCGCACACACGTCCGCACGGCCCAAAGAGCTAGAACGAGGGAGACGGCTAAAAACCGTCTGTGCTTGCCAGCAGGCATTCCTAGAACCTATTTACTTGTGCCGTCAGTGAGGACGGCACCGCCGAGCAGCCTGGGCATAAGACGTTGTGTGCAAGATGATGGCTGGGAGAAAATGCAAGTATTCCGCACCCCAGCGCTGCTTTCTCCGCTAACACGGTTCCCGAGCGTTAGCGAGGAGACGCAGGGCTCCCCTCTGCTGTGGACAGCAGCAGCACCACTGGGTTCCCAGACTGGCACAGCAGGGCCTGCGCTGGCCGGAAACACCCACCAGCCCTTTCCAGCGAGCCTCGTGCCAGAAGCAGTGTGCCTTGTCTGGCTGCAGCAACTGCAGGCGAACTGCTCCCCTGAAGAGCTGCGTTCCCCCGGAGCGATGCCAGCTCTCCTCCCTGGGCAGAAGAGAGTGTTAAACTCCACCTCCTCGTCCTCGGCCGCCCCTCTGTGGGGGAACTCTGACCGCTTCCCCGGCTCCCAGAATACATAAGGACTTGTGAGGCCGATCTTCTTGCAGGTGAACTTCTGGACTCGTCCCACATGCCTGGCTGCTCGTGACTTGGGCCAACTGTACAGTCAGCAGCTTTTCTTGAAGCGGCACTTTGGCCAGCAAACAGGTAAGGGTTGTTTGCTTGCTTACTTTTGGTTTGCTAGAATTAAATGTGCCTGCTTGGTAGTGCCATGCATTTGCAGACAACACGGTGCTTTTTGGCTGTTTCCGAATCTTGCCTGAGCTGCTGGCTTCCTAACAGTAGGGACTGGATCACAAGGAACAACGGCCTTTGCTTTCACATCCGGATGTTTCCTGGGCTATAGTTACACGGCAAGTTGGTGAAATGTAGTTTTCAGACCCCTTTCATAGTAAAATACGCACTTTTAAGAGCTTGGCTTTAAGTCCTTGCTGTTGTCCAGGGAAACTTGTAAGCGCATGCCCAGTTTTTCCTAAAGGCTTAGGATACAAAGGAGATGTAAATGAAACTCCCAAGAAGACACCCTTAGTATTTCGCAGTCTGAAATCAGGATGCATGTCTAACCTGGTTTTACACTGGAGCCCTGACTGGACGCCCCGACACCGCGCCACCGGGCCTGGCCGACGGCTCCTGCTCTCCGCCACTCACCCCTGTGGACCACACATGGGCTGCCGCTGCATGTGAGGCGGCCCTCTGTCCAGGCTGCGCCGCAGACTTTGTGCCTGCTGGCTGTTGATTTTTGGAAAACAAGGCTGGCTGTTCTCTGAGTTAGAGCTAAACCATGGAAACTGCAACCGCCGTGCAATGACTTTATCAGTTGTTCAAAATGCAACTCGTCAGCTGCAATATGGAAAGCGACGTTTGAGGACTGCACATCACTTTGTTTTCCTTGCGGGTGAATTTAGATATGTGAGTATCAGAGACAAGGGCACATCTGTCTCCCCCTCCCTCATCGGGGCTTGGCTGGTGCAAGACAGCAGCTCGAACGTCCTATAACTCTGTTACGGGGCTCCAGCTGGTCTCCCCAGAGATCTGGTGTGCGAGCAATGAACCCTGGGACGTTGGAGCGGCTAGTGGTAAAGTCCCGTTCACACTTAACAACGTCATATGCATAAATAGGGGAAATATCATCATAGGCTTCCTGTGACCTGATTTCAAGGAACCCAAAACACAGCTCAGATGCCAAACACCTTTCCCCTGCTCCAAAGTTCCCGCGGCTTGGAGGACTGGGATACACGGGGTGTAATTTTTTTTAGCCTGAGGGGCAAATTCAACTTCAGAAAAGTTCTCAGGGGCAGCATTCCAGTGGTGGGTGTGGGGAAGTGCCCAAAGGGGCAAAGGTCCAAAGGCAAAGTCGCACCCAATGTTAGCTTAGAGCTCTTCCTGTTAGTAGCTAAGCCTTCTGAGAGTTCAACATGCAAGTATTTCGGCCTTTCCAGGTGGGGAGGGAGGACTGTGCAAAGGCTGCAGTGAGGCTTGGGCAGGGAGCTGGTGGGAGGACGGGGCGTTGCTCCAGTATGCACACATTTTTCTGTGAAATCTTAGAAGGCCTTGCCATGGACTGCTAAGCTGATGGTCTGTCCTCTCCTGCAGTGGCTTGAAATGACCAATCTGTTCAATAGTCAGATTCAGCTGCAGCAGCAAGGCTGCTTCTCTGTTTTGTTTTGTTTTAAATAAGTTTTATTTGAAATTATAATTCTAAAAAAACAATAAGAAAACTACAAACAACATCTGTCATCAAAAACATCGAGCCCGCTGTTTTAAGGCCTGCACTGTCCAACATTTCTCACCTTTGTTACTTCTGGCAAAGGATGCCTCAGCTCTCCCCGAGTTTCTTTCCATTGCTGTCTTGATCTGAAAGAACCTGCTGCAAGAATAGAACGTGTGCTCCACACCTGGCAGGGAGGGAAGGCGTTTCCCCAGCCAGAGGGGGCAGAGTTTCAGAATTGCAAAGCGGAGGGTCACGCAGAGGATGGGACCAGCACACCGGCCGAGAAACTCGCCAGCTAATTTGTGTTCGTGCGCACATGATTCTGGCCAAGCTCTGGCTACAGAATGATTGTCCCCTGCACAGGAAGCAGTCTCTGAGCTCTGCTGGCCGGTCCGTTGGATCCAGGAGATGGTCTCCGAATGTGGCCAAGAATAAACGCCTCTGGGAAGCTCCGCTTCGATCTTGCCGTGATCTCAGAGTGCACCACGGACCCAGAGCGCAAGGAAGCCGTGGTGCCAGCCGGGGAAGCGCTGGCCTGAGCACAGCTGTGAAGCAGGAGAGCCACCAAACCCAGTGTGCTGGAGGCCTGCAAGGCCTTCAAACTCGGGCCCACAGCAGCAGCCCCCAAGCCTAATTCTGGCACGAGGCCTTGTCTGCCAGTGCTGGCAGCACAGGCACATGCAGTGGGGAGAGAGTAGCGCTAGGATCCAGCCCATGCCGCTGCCCTTCAAGGCTGCCCAATTTACGGGGATCGGCGGAACTCAAGAACAGGCTTCTGGGCTGAAGCGTAAAAAGCCTCTTCTGGTATCAGGGCTTGTTAACGCAAATTGCTGGCTGGGAGCTCTCGGGCCCTGCAAGAGGAGTGCGGTACTTCAGGGGGCAAGTCCTGGGGTCACAGCCTGGTCTTCTGGGGTTCCCCGGAGGGCTAAGCCCCCTTTCCCCTGGCCTTACTCCCGCTCCTCGCCATTGCCACTGATAAGCCAAATATTGTATTCTTTTTCCTCCATTCTAAAGGGTTGACATTCCAACCTAAGGCTGAGTTATTAATAACAAGATGTATAAAAATTATGGAAGAAGTAATCAACGCATCTGGAGGGCACCAGGTTGGGGAAGTCCGGAGTAGACAACTCTGGATTGCAACAACAAATAACCTGACTCCATTTAAGCGTTTACACACAGAGATATGCACAGGGCCTGATTCTGTGTATGCTCACTGAGGAGTAACTTCTGCCGTGCCCGAGACTGTCGCCATTTTGTCCCCTCAGGAGCCGACGGCGTGAGCAGCCGCCATGCGCGTGGCCGTGATTGGGGCCGGAGTGATGGGACTGTCCACGGCCCTCTGCATCCATGACCGGTACTCCTCGGGGGACCGGCCGCTGGAGATCGAGATCTACGCCGACACATTCACACCCCACACCACCAGCGACGGGGCAGCGGGACTCTGGCAGCCGTACCTGTACGACAAGGGGAAGGTTGAAGAGACGTAAGGGCAACACCTTTGACTCCCTTGCTCGGTGAGAGCTTCTGTTCTTGTAGGCCAGCGGCAGAGCTCTTTGGGGATCCAGGTGAGCGCCACTCCCTGGGCTTCCCACAGACAAACGACAGGGGCTGGCACCACATCAGCTCTTGAAGAGCCACACTCCCTCAAGGCTCCCGGCCAGGGCACCGCCTGGAGGACCTTTCTTCTGGCTGGCACCTGCGTTGGGTGGCTAAACATCAGGAGGAACTTCCAGGTGGTAAAAGGTGGCCAGTCGTGTGTCAGTCTTCTCTGGAAGTCAGTGGGTTCCTCTTCTCTGGGAGAACTTAAGCTGAGGCTGGACGGCCGCCTCTCCGGGATGCTGCATTTCCATCCTGCGCTGCCAGTCCTGCCTCGAGGAGCAAGGTGGGCTGTGGCCTCACGTCCCCGCCTGAGCCTGTGGTGCTAGAACCTGCTTAGCCAGAGGCAAGCGTGGAGCAACAGAGGGATGGAGAAATGTACGCAGCCTAAGAGCGGGGGTCCTTCTTTTGAGCCACCACCAACTAGCTTGGGAAATACTGTACGATGATCATCTGTCCCCCGACTTACATTGTATCCAAATTTGTTGGGAGGTTCTGGGGTGTCCTGCCTTGGGAACGATGTTGGATTAGGTGACCCCCTCATACTGTTTCGACGCCCAAGGAAATGCTCAGAGAAGGCGCCTTCTAAGCAGCAGGCGCAGCAGCTTCTGTGGAAGCAGTTACAGGCTTCTGACACACCTGGGCAAGACCATCTTGCTTCGTCATCTGGAAGCATTAACTCTGAAACCGAGCCTTTAAAGCCCAAGGATGCTTTGTATTCCCCTCGCCGGACATACTTCCCAACTGCACCTCTGGGTAAATCTTCAACTTGCAGTACATTTTCTTATGCAGTCCTTGAACACAAGCAGGGGCAAAGGGTCTGATCACACATATGTATGTGTTTAACACTGCAGGCTCTGGAACAAAGAGACTCTTGATTATCTGCTCCAACACGTACATTCGCCGGAAGCCAAGGAGATGGGCTTGTTTCTGATCTCTGGATACAATCTCTTCACTCAGCCAGTTCCAGTAAGTAGCTCTTCTTTCATGACATTCTCACACCAGATGCTTAATTCTCATGGAAGGTGGAGGCTTGGAGTAAGGCATTGATAAGGGAAAGGGGAAAATTAGAGTCCCTTTTTGCTTTCAGGTGATTCTTCGATCCTTTCTAAGGTACAATGCAAGGAAAAAACCCCAACCAGCATAGGGAGAACTAATTTAAATGTATCAAGGAAATAGCATTCCAATACAGGATTCTATTATATTTTATTTAATGACCTCCTCCAAAAGTGGCACCATCTGCAGAGGATAGGATAATTACTTTAATAGTGATGACTTTTTGAACAAAAGCAGTACATGTAAAAATAATGTAGGTGTTTTAGTGCTCGTCTATCCCAAGCTGAGGCTGAGCCAGCAAGGCGATGCAGCTGCTAAAGAAGCGAATGCAGCCTGAGGCTGCACCAGCAGAAGCACAGCAGCCAGATCACACCCTGAAGCCGTGCTGCTCTGCCCTGGCCGATCAGGCCCCTTGTGGGGAACAGCGTCCTGTTCTGGCTACCACGTTTTTTAGAGAAGATGCCAGCAAATGTGAGTGTATCCTGAAGAGGGATCTGAAAACCAACTTTCACAAGAAACAGTTGGAAGAGCTGGGTATGCTTAGCCTGGTAGAGGAACGAACAGGAAATATCATCATGTTTTCAAGTATCGGGTACAAAATGTGGAGTGGACGCACTCTCTGTGCCCACTCCAGGGGATGGAACCAGACTTGGTGGGTAAAAAGGGTCGAGTAGGAGGAATGTCGAAAGGGGCGTCACACGGAGGGGGGCAGAGGAAGAGGAAGGCAGAGGAAGGCAGGACGTGCTCCAACCGAGCCAAGCGCAGGGAACCCAGGCTCCATTTGGATGCCAGGAAGCACTTCCTGACAGTCGGGACCCTGAGGGTGAGGAATGGGCTTCCAGGGGAGGTGGTTGAGGCCCCATCGGTGCGGGTGTTCAAGGATAGGCTGGACGTCCACATGGTGGGCATGTCGTGAGCGGAGCCGGCTGGAGCTGGGGGTCAGACTAGATGGCCCGGGAGACCCCTTCCAACTCGCTCTGTTTCTATGTCAGTAGCTGCTCCAAAGTGGCACAGAAGAGGATGGGGGAGGGGGCTGCTGGAAGTATTTGAGAGAGGCCGGATGGCCAAGACAGAAGGCCTCTGGGATTGTGCCCAGCCAGAAACACCTGGGCATTGCTTTGATTAAGTGAACTATTTTCACAAAGTCCGGGGGGGTGGGGCGGGAACACTGCACAGCCAAGACTGAGACCAGATCCTCTTGAGCTTGTGGACTTTTTCTCAGTTGCTTAGTAAGTAGACTTGGAATGCTTTCTGTTCCTTAGGAGCCATCATGGAAGGACATGGTCTTAGGGTTTAGGCACCTGTCGGAGAAAGAACTGCAGCTATTTCCAGGCTACAGGTACTGGTCCCCTTCCCTTCGAATTTGGGTGGCAAGGCAGCTCCTGGGGCCAAAGCTCAGGCCATCTGCTAGGTGTGCCAGGAGCCCCTCTTGCGCAGGAGTGGGAGGGGCCATGCCGGCCATGGGGTGGGAGCACCTGTCTGGCCCACAGGGAGGACGCCAGGTGGGGAAAGGATAGCCAGTCTGCGGGTGCTCTTCGCGAGCTGCTTCTCATGCGCCGGCTCTTCCCTGTCCACACTAATTTGTGGGCTCCTTAGATGACACTGTGACCATCCAGTTTCACTCCTGTATTTAAAGAGCGCGTTTGGAGAGTTCCCAAATGTGATATTTAATTGTGGCAGTGAAAGAAGCCACTTTTGTCATTCGCCTACTTGTTGCTATTCCGCTGTGCTGCAGTGCCCGGCATCTAGAGGTTATGTGGCAAAAATTGGAAAAGGAGGCGCTTTTTTAGCACTGCTCAGATCTCAGTTCTGTGATGAAACTGAAAGTGGGCATAATGGATTAGCAGCTGATTAATCGCTTTATGTAGTGGACTCAGAATGATGCTGCGCTTGACTGCATGAAACAGCCAGTGCGGTTAAGGAGGCAGAGTAGTCTCTGGGAATGGCATGGTTTGAATTCAGATCCCACCCAGTCTGTGTGCAGGACGAGATGGTTTTTCAGGTCAAAGCTCATGTGCGTTTCCCCCTTCTCTCCCCCCACCCCACGTGCAGCTATGGCTGGTTCAACACAGCAGTGATGCTGGAGGGGAAAAGCTATTTGCCTTGGCTGACAAACAGGTAAAAGGGACCCGTCCGCTGATCTCCGAATGAGGTTAGCTTCCCCTTCAGGTAGAGGCGTGTGCTTCTGTTGTTCAGTGAGCCCCCTCCCCGAGAATTTGTGAAATCGCAGCATTCAGCATGGACAGCTCCTCTGAGATCGGGTAACCTGTTCTCATTGCAAACTCAATTGTTCTTCAAGGCTGAAGCTACGGGGAGTCAAGTTCTTTCATCGAAAGATCGAGTCCTTCCAGGAGGTTAGCTGGGAATTCTAGCATTTGTATGGGGGCGAGGGGGCATTGATCAAGACGAAGCAGAGGCATCCCCACTGCTCTCTGCAGCTGCGGGGGCCAGGGGGAGACAGAGACGGGGGTGGGGAGAGATGATAAGGGGGAACTGGGTAAGGGAAAGGGAAGGGGGGCTTATAAGTACCCAGGACAGAAGTGCGGAAGAGCAAAAGCACCACTTGTGGGTTGGCCTCGAGAGTGTTGAACTGAGTAGTGGGGGGGGGGGGAACTAGAGAACATTCGCAAAGATCAGATCTCATCAAGTGCCGCCAAGCCTCTGGGGGTTCTCCTGCTCACATGTTGTCCTTTCATCCTTAAAAGGATTAGAACATCTTTCAGCCCAAGGACTGAATTCAGTTTCAGAGATGCTCTTGGGGGCTGCATTCCATTGTGGGCAGGGCCAAAAACCCAGCGCCTAGGAAACCCTGGGGTTCCTGGCTGGGCCCCGGCAGGCCGAATTTACTGAGGATCAGCAGCCCTGGACTAGAGGATTAAGCGAGAAGAAACGGGAAGTCATGGGGAAGGCTGGCCATTGCAGTTTTTTTGTTGGGATCATCCACCTTCAGAGAGGGAAGGCCTTACCAGCCACCTCGAGGGCTGTTTTAGCAGAAATCCTCCATTAAATTATCTTCAAATAAATGAGAAGGAAGGAAACGGCTGGAAAGGAGCCATTCCGGAGCTCTGACAGCTTTGGCAGAAGCTTCCCCACACTGGCGCCTCTGAGCTGTGTTGGAGTGTCACTGCTAGACTGGGACTTCCGGGATTCACCTGCTTGAGGAGGGCTGCTCTAGGCAGGAGGGATGCGTCTGGGATGGACTTACGTGCCATGCCAACGGGAAGGCCCCAAACGTGTCTCTTGTTAGCTGGTGGCTCAAGGTGTGGATGTCATCGTCAACTGCACCGGGATCCGTGCAGGGGAGCTGCAGCCTGACCCTGAGCTGCTCCCCGGCCGGGGACAGATCATCAAGGTGAGGCGGGTTCCGGGACGCCGGCGTGGCTCGCACGGGTCGGTGGTGGGAGGCAAGCCTCTGCCTGCATTACCTGGGCCAGGGGCGCTGGGCTGGGGGGCCAGCCAGCCGGTGAGGCTGCGCAGGCCAAGGAAGCAGAGCGCTGTCGGCTGCAAGGTGGGACTCCGCTGGGTCTTTGGGACACCTCAGGTGGGCCGAGCGGGATGCTGCCCTCGGCCGGACCATCTGCAGTGGAGGTGCTGCAGCGCAGCGGAGGCCCAGCCGGCACCTGCCTCGCTTCAGCTTGCAAAATGCCGCAGTGCGGCCCCCCCAGAGCCTCACGCTCAGCTCTTAGGCAGGGAGTGGCGTCCTGAGCCTCTGGTTCAAGCCCACCCCAGCCCCTCACAGGGAGCAGCGTGGCTGGGCAGCGGGGGGAGAGGCCTGGTCTGCGTCAAGCCTCAGAACTGGCCCTCGCGCGGGGGAGGAGCACCGAGGCGGAAGCAGGTGCCCGGAGGCACCTTTGCCCACCGGAACAAGCACCCACCGGCCTGCTTGTTTTGGTTCCCCAGGTCGATGCTCCCTGGGTGAAGCATTTCGTCATCACTCACAATATTGCGGCTGGAATCTATAAGACACCTTACATCATACCTGGGTAAGGAACGTGAAACTAACGGTGGCAGAAATCTGTCAGGTGGACCCAAAAAGCCATTTATTTTTTCCCCCATGTTCAAGTGTCCATTTCACGGCCCACTGACTGCTGTGAGCCACACTCCTGAGCAGCCAGCGGGACACACGCCGTGTATTGAAGGGGGCTTGAAACCGGCTTTCGGGGGAAGTGCCCCTCCAAGAGGGGGTGGTTCTCGCAGGCCCCCCCATTCTCCTCGTTTTCCCTGGTGCTTGGGAGAGTGTGGTGTGCGCATGAATGCAAAGGCGTGTCCCTGGCTGAGCGTATGACTTGGGCTCTGCGTGGGGGGGGGGGTGAGTGAGGAAGATCGCAGAGGAGGGTGGCCCCATCTAATGCCGGCATGTCCCCCTTGAGGGTGGCAGGCTGGCCCTTGACTGGGAGAACGCTTCCCCCCCGCCCTCAAGCATGAAGCGCGGCAGAGGACCCAGCGTCCAGCCAGCCTGGGGATGCGCACAAGCCGCCACTCCGTCCGGGGCAACTTTCCTTCCGTTCTGTGCTGCAGGAGCACTGCCGTGACTTTGGGGGGCATATTTCAGCTGGGCAACTGGAGCGAAGAGAACAGCCCCCAGGACCATGAGCAGATCTGGCGCGGTTGCTGCCACTTGCTGCCGAGTCTCCAGGTACCACAGCCACGCAGTGCCTCCGGGAAGCAGCTGGTGCGGCTCTGAGTGGGGACCGGACCCCCCCTCTCCCCACTCCCGGAGGAGAACTGCTATCGCAGTTCCCGGTTCCCGTGCCTTCCCACGGAAGCCAGGCTGCCAGCTGAGAATAACCGCGAAGCACTGACTGGATGTTGTTGCTTCCAGAAAGCCAAGATCATTGGCGAGTGGACTGGTTTCCGTCCAGTACGACCCCAAGTTCGGCTCGAACGCGAGACTGTTCGCCATGGATCATTACAAGCGGAGGTAGGCGAGAGCCCTGGGATGCGTTCCGTAGTGTCGCGTGCGTGGGTGACTTGCGCTTCTGCGCCCCCAAATCTCCCCTCCTCCTCTACTGGGATTGTTCTCTGCGTTGACGTTCTCCAGGTCTCATCAGGAGAACTCTCTCACCTGAGTGCCCACGAAATCCCATGCTCAGACTTGTCCTCCTTTTTCCCTGGGTCTCACCGATCCACTTTTCCCCTTGACTGGGTTTGATTCCATCTGAAACTTGATCATGCGAAGCTTCTGGCTGCAACGCAGATGGGGCACCGGGGCCTGGAGCTGACTCTGTGCTTCCTCACAGCAAAGGGTTCCCTACTCATGTCTGAATCACTGCTCAGTTTCTTCCCTTATGAACAACGAGCACTGAATTGATAGAAATCTCAGAGATTATTAAAAGCTCTGACAGCAGAGAGAGTGCCTGAAAAAAATGTAATGATTGCAGCCGAGAAAGCATCCTCTTCACAGTTGGAGATAATTCAAAGTCAGGATTTTGGGAAGGAAACCCGCCGATAAAGTGAGAGCTGCGGAATGGCACTAGGGAATATGGAACAAAAACTGAGGAGCCATTGTGAACCATATTATTCCTGTTATCAGCCCAGCTGGTTTATTTTTCTCCGTCCATCTATCCATCCTGCCATCTGTCCATCTATGTAAAGCATATTTATCCTTCTCTTCAGCCGAAAATGGGGCCTGGAGTGACACGTGATCAGTAATTTGGACGAGACAGTCCCTGCCTGCAGGAGCACAACCTGAAGGCAGGACACCGGAGGAGAAAGGGACGGGGGGAGGGAAGAGGAGAAAGAGCAGTGGGCTTTGGTGGTGGGATGGCCCTGCTGCCCTTCCATCTCAGTGGGGTGGGGAGGACAGTCCGACTGGGGCAGCCCCTGTTCCCCTTGCCAGCCCCTGTCTCCCCGTGTTACTGCCAGCTGAATGGGAAGGTGGGCTTTGCTTACTGTCCCAAATTGTTGCGGTGTAGCTGTGTGGTTGGGCCAGAACCGCCAAAAGCAGCAGCATACAACTTAAAGCTCCCAGGGCCACAGTTTAACAAGAAACGGGGAAGGCCTGTAGCCCTCTTCCTGCCCTTCATGGTCGCAGTCCTGCTCAGGCCTCCCCAGGGCAGCCAAAAGCTTATTTGACATCACACTCCATTTGGCCTTCGGTCTCCTCTTGAACGATGCTGGGCAAGGCATGCTGGCACCTTGCACACAGGGTACTTGTTCCCGAAATAGCACATGAGCCCTGGTGGGCAAGGACCCTGACGGAGCTCTGTCTTCCCCTTCTCTTCCAGGTGATTCACAACTACGGCCATGGTGGCTTTGGACTCACCATCCACTGGGGTTGTGCAATGGAGGCGACCAGATTATTTGGGAAGGTCCTAGAAGGCCAGAAGTTGGTCAAACCACCCCGTGCCAAACTCTGAGCCAGTGGCAGCAGTTCAGGATTGCCCTTCCTGGAGTTTTCCTTCTTCCTGCTGCACTGCATCCATCACAGCTCCCCGAGTGTCCTGCTTCCCCTTTGCCACCATCTCTTTTAGTTTTTGTGTCGTGTCTTTTTAGATTGTAAGCCCGAGGGCAAGAACTTCCTTGTGTTTATTTACCTGTAAGCTGCTCTGGGGATCTTTCCAACTGAAGAGCAAAGTAGAAATGCTTTAAATGCTGAGAGCTAGGGTAATATAGCAGTTCGAGTACTGGGATTCAGGAGATCTGGGTTCTAGTCCCCACTCAGCCGTGAAGCTCACTAGATAACGTCCGGTCAGTCCAAGGCTCTTGCGACTAACCTACCTCACAGAATTCTTGTGAGGATAAAATAGAGAGGAGGAGGACTTGGGTTCCTTGGAAGAGAAAAAGGTGGTGCGTACATGCAATGTGACAAACCCAACGAGTAAATAAACAAACTCAGAGTGGATCAAATGTCGCAGACTTTGGAGGCTTTCCTTTAAGAGCATTCAGGGATCCAGAGTTCTTTAGTCTTGACTGGGGAACAACAGAGTAGCTTACCAACCCAATGCGTGTCCCTCTTCTTCCTACTGCCCTCCGTCCAAACATCAGCCTCTGAACAGTGTTCCTCAGGAGCAGGAAGGGCTTATTCGACTGACCCTCAAGGCAGGGCTCAGTGCTTTTCATCACTGCCTTGTTAGCTCAGCTTTCCTGCACTCTCACCCGTCCATGGCAGCCTGTTTTACTCTTCAGTCCACGCTGTCGCGCTTTGGGTGGACACTGTGAGTTGTTGTTGAAATGTGAGTTGTGTTGTCTGAACCCAGCTGTGCTAACAAGCCATGGCTAGTCAACCATGAAAAACCAGTGAAAAGGACCCATGGTCTGTGGCTGGGTTGTGAGCTGTGGGTTGTTCAGCGTGGCTATCATCCTGGCTGGGTTCAGACAACATGATAAACCAGGTTTCAACAATATCTCGTGGTTTGACAAGAATCCACCCTCTACCCCTGAACCCAGGGGGCCTGCTGAGGTTTCCCATGTCACTATATAGGGACACAAAAAGAAGAGTAACCACCTGCAGTGCGAAAGGAAGGGGATAAACCAGGAGCTCAGAGGGAGAAGAAAGCTACTTGCAGCTGATTCGTTGTTCCAAGTTCATCCATAGCAAATAAACTGGATAATAACTGTATGGCATATTTATGCAACTCGAGGGCGAGCTGGTCCTCATTCTGGACTCAGACTAGACAAAAAAAAACCCTACAGAGCTCGTTACTGTAAAAACTATTCATTTATTCAACATAAAATATCCAGTGTGAAATCAAACTAAGGTTGATCATTAACGAAGAAACAGAAGAATATGGTACAATAAGCTCAGTTTGCAGAATTCTCTTCTTCAACATGAACACGTGTCTAGTTTCAAAACTGTACATTCAAACACAGCTGAGACATTCAAGTGTTCTTTTTTTTCCGGCAAGCATTGAGGAAATACAAGGATCATTCATCACAGCATATGTGGAGAATCACTTTCCCCTCACAACAGCTTTGCACATTAATGGACTGGACGACCAACAGAATTCCAAACAGCACAAGTAAGTTCAATTCCAAATGATATTTTTGCTTTATTTTTAATGAATGCATCAACTGTACTTTTTCCCAAATGAAAAATACATGATGCGTCTAAAACAAAATCTTTGGAAGTGTTTGTTATATACATGAGTGATTTTGGTATCTTTTTTAAAGGTTTCTGAGCATTTCTATAAAAGCCATATTTTATATATATCATGTTTCAGATAAGACAATAGTGTAGATTTCTTCCTTAACAGTTTGGAGCTTTTACTAAATTTAACTTAATTTATACTATTCAAAAGAAATTCTATCAATTTAATTAGTGTGTGATTCATTCTGGCAATCCCCTTTGTATAGTCATCACTGTTCAGCACAAAACGGGTGTAACTGAAGATGGTTGGCTCAGCAGGGGTTCTGCACACGGTTACATAACATTCAACAGCACATCCAAAAGCAAATATAGTTCAAAAAAGAGTTGTCTTGTCTTGTGTGGACATAATGAATTCCGTTGCCAGGATTTCAAAATTCCTACCAAGAAGGAAACTGTTTCAGGTCTGCAGGATGGATTTTGCTTGCGAAACTTTTAACCTGGTAGAGGGGAAAGGGCCCCGATGCAGAACACTGTGGGCTGGAAATAACTCAAAAGCTTTGCATTACTGAACTCTGTCTTAGCCACTTACAAGTGTGAAATATTTCACTCAAGACAAAAATGCTACTGCGGCTGACATGTCACACTTTACAGGAATGTCCATTTGGTGTTTTTTGAGTCTGATGTTGTAGAATTTTGAATCTTAGACGTGAAAATGCCAAAGGGATTTGAAATCTGGAAGATGGCGCCTGAGCTAAGACACCCTAACAGCCACATCCCCAGTGAGTTTCCGATGGCTTTCTAAAGGTAACTTAATTAGAGTTCCTTGAGCATTTTATCACTGACATCCTGCAAGGAAAAAACTAATACAAATTATTTGACTTTTTACATATTTGTTGGCATTTCAGAATTCTGTTTGAAAGACTATGCTAATGCTCACTTCTGTTATTTTTAATAACCCAAATCTCTTTTTTGCGGGGGGCAGTGACTGAAATTATAAATAGAAAAGGTTTTGAAAGAGGACTTGATCGTCTTGGTGTAGACATCCATCCCACTTCTTCCACTGGTCAATAAGCTGTGGTGGTTTTTAATTTTTAAAAACTTCAAACCTGTTTGACCAGAGGTGATGAGACAAATGCCTGCAGTAGTTGAGGTCATACCTCTCGCAAATCAGTTTTTTAGCTCTCTTTACCAATCTTTTTATTAGAAATAGGTACAACTTCCAATTAGGAGCTCCCTCCACCTGGCTGCTCTGAGGAACCAGTAAATTTGAGTGATTAAGACTTGACTTTCAATCCTCATTTCTTTGTTGTACATCCGTCAGGGACTGCAATTCAAACGCTTGGTCCATAATAGGAAACAACCTCCAAAAGCAGCTTTCCTGGGTTTCAGGCAGGAGTCCTTCCCAGTCTTACCTGGAAATGCCAGGTGTTGAGCCAGGGACTTTCTACATGCCCACCAGGTAGTCTAACACTGAGCTATGGCCTTTCCTCACTTTGGAAAACTGGTTTGAAATACAAGAGATAATTAGCTTAAATAAATAAGAATAAATAACCCACTGGCCCAGGAATCCTGGCAGCTTCCACAAATCAATTATACGTTGTGTGAAGGAATAATTTTCCAGAAGAGTAGACAGCAGAAAAGCAACAACCAAGAGTCCTGTGGCACCTTAAATGCTAGTGTGGGTGTGTGTGGGTGCGCACATGCATCTGATGGTAGGCTGTGGTTTGCAAAAGCTTGTACTGCAATACACTTCTTTGTGTTAAGGTGCCACAAGATTCTTCGGTGTAGTGTATTTTGCGTCTTCTGAAGCTACTGCCCATCAATTTCTCTGGATGATCCTGAGTTCTAGTATGCTAGAAAGAGAGAAAAACCTCTCTCTCTCTCTCTCTCTCTCTCTCCTTGGTCCACATCATGCAGCATTTTACAAATGTCTATTGTGACCACTCCTTTAGTTGTCTTTTTGTCTAAACTTAAAGGCCACACCAAATGTTTGACGTCCATCATGAGGGAGAGGTTCCCATCCATCAGTTCTTTCCGGCACCCTGTTCCAGCCATCTGATTTCCCTTTTTTGATGGAGGCGACCAGGACCATGCACATTTCCACCTGCGTGGGCTTCTCTGAAGGCTTCCCTTCTCGGTCCGGCGGTGCTTTTTCCCAGCAGAAGGGGCACGTGCTTCTCCGAGTGCCCAGCAACCCCTCAAGCAACACCATGTCCCAGCAAGAAGGCTTTGATAAAACGGATGATGGCTTGGGTGTGCCAAAGGTTGTTTACAACCACAGAAGTGCACAGCCGGTGGTTTAATTCACAAGTGCACAAGACCAGACTGCATGCTACACTAGGAACGAGTGTGCTTAGGCGCAGGCCCACCCACTGGTGTGTGTCAAAGGCGTTGGCCACTTGTGGACAGAAGAGCCTGAGCCACGTCCACTGAGCTTGGCACGGAGTGGCTTTCTCGGCCCCAAGAAACGAAGCTTGTTTTTTGGTCAGCCATGAAAACTCAGCAGATAGTTTGGGAAGGGCTCCTCTCGGCTTCCCTTGCTCCATCGCCTTCCTCTCCGACACACAAGCACACACTCACTTTGCAGCTCTAATGCCGCCTCTTGCACAAGGGGATGGCGAGGGGAGTGCGCAGCAAAGGAGTCCATGAAGACACAGACCGCGTGCTCTCGCCTTGGGAAAACACGCAGCAGTAACTTGATGTTCCGTGTCTCGGACGCTGGACTTGGGAGCTTCATGGGAAACCCCTCTCCAGACGTCCCCGTTGCTGCAGTGCTGTTCCCGTCACCCCTGAGATCCGGAATTTGACTGGGGGACTCCACGGCCAACCATCTCTTGCCCCCACTCCCTGTGGGTGGACTCCTGCAAGCCGCGGCCCTTGGTCTCGATGGGCAGCAGGCAAGAAGCCAGAGCCGCCAGGACGCAGCACCCGCTGTAAACGATCAGTGTCAAGTAGATCGAGGACTCCAGCATGACCTGGGAGAGGAAGGAAGCGGGGAGTCAGCCGAGGCCTCTGCGCGAGGAAGAGAGAGTGGCCCGTTTGGCTTCGTGGTCAGAACAGCAAGCGGGTCCTCGGGAGGGGAGAGGAGCGGTTTTACCTGTGCGATGAACGGCGTGATAAGTGCGCCAACTCTGGCCACTCCGCTACAGGTCCCAAGGCCCAGGGCACGGGTAGCTGTGGGGTAAACCTGCAGAGGAAGCCAGAAATGGGTCACACCCCAGATTTGTGAAAACCCAGGTAGGCTCAGTCAAGGCAGGGAGGCGAGGGCTTCCGGGCTGCAGAACAGCATGTGGACACCCATGTATAAGTGTGATGAGCCGTTCGGGGGGGTTGCAGGTTAAGAGAGTCCTAAAAACAAATTATAGGATTTGCTGTCATTACATGTGATCCTGGCTTGCGTGTTTGCCTTACGTGATGGAGTTTCCTAGAGTTGCACTTTCCTAGAGTTTCCCAGGACGTGGCCCTTCCCTAGTCTTGCTGTTCAAGAGGCTGCGGCTGATGGATTCTTGCCCACGGCCGCTCAACATCCGGATCCAGTCATGGGCCACCTGAGCAGGACTTTGGGGCAGAGCTGAAGGACTGGGCTTAGGAGAACGAGCAGAAGGACCCTTAAACACTCCAGGGCCAGCTTGCCTCATTTTGTAAGGAAAGCAATACACGTGGCCCTATAAAGAGAATGCCAGTCTGGTTCAAGGCAGGACAGACTTGGGAGGTGCGGCTTCTAGTCCCCAGTCGTCCGTGAAGCTGACTGCACGACATGGGGCAAGTCATGACTCTCTGTCTAACGACCTCACAGGGTTGTTGTGAGGACGAGATGGAGAGGAGGAGGCCCCTGTCAGAGTGGGTCCCTTGCAAGGGGAAGGCGCGTGGGACAGAAATGGAAGAATACAGTGCCAGTTGGGGCATCAGCCACTGGCTGCAGTGCCCAAAACTCTGCCAGCCCTGGGCTGACCCGAGCCTTGCGGAATCTCTCGTTTTATGAAGTAATTGCTTTCGATTCTTACCTCAGGGGTATAAACATAAGCAGCTTGGAACCCTCCTGAAATAAAGGCCCTAGCGATGAACAGTAGCACGGTAAGAACTTGCCTGTAAGGACAGAAGACAAAATACTGTTTCTTAAAGATGCTACTTGCTGGCCTGGCGCATTCACTGTACTGCTGAGCAACGACTACACTTCATGGCAGGTCTTCCTGCCCAGAGAACTTCAGCTGCGGTGCAGCATGGAAATTAAATAAATGAAAATAATACGACCACCGTCGTCTCCAAAGGTGGGGTACTGGCTTGTTTTCGGAGGAGCCAAGCCCAGCTTCTACTCCGTATAAATGGTACACGCAAGGAAATGCAGCCTTGTGTAGAGACCATTTTAACTGAGCTCTCGAACACATTTTGTTTCAACGCTGAGTTTGAGGGCAGATGCAGGAGTCACCTTCTGCAGGACACTTTTGTGGAGGTGGGACTCCACGGGTCTGGATCACTTTGCTCACCTTCCAACACAGAGGAAGAGCAGGAGACTACAAAACGAAAAGACAAAAAAGCAGAGCGCCATCGTCTTTTTCCGCCCAATCCAATCAATAACCCATAAGGTCACTAGAACACCTGCAGGAGAAGAGAGAGATCAATTATCCCAATTTGCAGCCAGCAGGAATCGGTGCAAGAAGATACGTGAGTATGAACAGATTTCAGGCAAACAGAAAACGTATCTGAAAGTTCATAAAGCAAACATTTGTTTGGAGTTTTTAGAGCACAAACATGGACATGGGAGGATAACAAGCTAAGTGCTTTATTTTTAAATGTTTGTTTTTGTCAGCAACTTCAGAATTAAGTTGCAAAGCTGTGATGAAGGCTTTTTTTGAGCTTCTCTAATACATGTTCCATTTCCCCCTCATGTTTTCATGAACACAAACACATACAGAGGCCAATTCTGAGGCCAGATTTGTATGTGTTCTGTATATCCACTGGTATGTTTCAGTAAGAACACATTCATTTGTGGTTGTTTTAACTTAGGCACCACTATTTCAACATGTGTTCGAAGCAGAACAAGATTGCACATGGTGGGCATGTCATGAGTGGAGCCGGCTGGAGCTGGGGGTCAGACTAGATGGCCCAGGCGACCCCTTCCAACTCGCGCTGTTTCCATATTTGCATTCTGCTCAGAGACCCCTCACTTTGCCTCGCCACTTGCCTACCTGGGAACTCCGACAGAGTGGTCCACAGCAGATCGATGTAGTCCTTCTCTGTTAGATATTCACACGCCAGGCTGCACTTGGCCTTCACTATTTTTCTCCTGCTGGATACTTAGATGGGGCAAAGAGGACGGACGGACAGACAGACAGACAGACAAGAGGAATAATACGGGAAGTTTTGAACCCGTTTTCCCCCATGCATTCTTCCCTGCGCCTTTGGCTGGGCCGGCAGGCCACCCCAGCTGCTATCACTGAACCAGAAATGGGAAAGCACAGCAAGAGGCTCAGGAGCTCCTGGAGGGGCAAAAGGCCGCATCTGAGCCCCCCGCCCCTGGAAAGAAAAGGTGGCACTAGGTCCCTGCCTTCCCTCCAACGAGCCCCTTTGTGCTGGTCTCCGGACAAAGGGCATCCCAGTAAACTGGCATCATAGTCTCTTCCCCAGTCGCCAGTTCCTTGAGCAACCAGGAAGTGGCATCGGCCCCAACCCGCTCGGAGTTCGTCGTCTGGAACAGAAACAGGCCGCAGGGGGAAGCGGTTCCCTCCACCCGCCATGCTGCCCACGCCTTTCGTGTTTGGGGAGGAGACTACTCACAGCTGCAGAGGTCCCCTGCTTGGAAGAGCTCCGTTGTTAACAAAACTAACCCATAATAAGAAAAGGCATTGGAGAACCTGTGTGGAAGGAAATGGAGAGTGAGAGCACGACTGAGCGGGCCGGGACCCCGGAGAGCAGCGTGGCACCATCGCGGCACGGGGCCATCTGCGGGAAGCCACTCCTTAGAGTCCGGCAGAGAGAGAGACGGGGAGGGGCTCGACCCCATCCGGGCGGGCCCTGAGCTCGCGGCCACATCGGCACCGCTTGGAGTTTTCTTCACACAATTAGAGAAACCTGAGCTGATTCATGTCAGGATCAGAAGCGGATGCAGGCATCACGGCAAGAGCCAGCGTGTCGCGGTGCTTGGACTGCTGGGCGAGCAGAGAGACCCGCGTTCTCATCCGCACTCGGCCGTGATGCTCCCCAGGGGACCTGAGGCGAAGCACGCGCCCTCAGCCCAACCTGCCCGACAGGGTGACTGTTGTGAGGGAAAATGGAGTGGAGGAGACGGGTGGAGGCCGCCTTGGGTTCCTTGCAAGAGGAAAAAGGGCAGCCCGTAAACACGGTGGAGGAGGAGGAGGAAGACCTGAGCACTGGGAGATTTAGGACAAGCACATGAATCAAATGTCAGGAGTGGGTCTCAGAAGATGCAGCGGTTGGATCGTTTTCCGGGAGGAGCTGGGCAAGCCACGGAGCGGCAGAGCCTGGATAGGCCTTGGGCCCAGTCCCAGCTCAGACTCCTGCACCATACGCAGATAAAAGAAATAGGCTTTCTGTGTCGGGGGACTATTTGGCCGGGTGCAACTTTGGGCAGAGGTGGGCTGCTCGCTCTCCCCGCCCAGACTGCCGGAAGGGCCTCATGGTGCCGCTTTTGGCCTGTGTGGTGGGGCTCAGTGGCTTTTCGAGCTCCTCTGTGTCTCTGCAATATGGCCCAGGTTTTTCGGCCCCTGTGCCACTGGACACCTACCAGGTGGAGAACTCTTGGCCAGCACGCGCCACGCTGCAGCACGGCTGCCGTGGACAGCCGGGAGCTGGTCCCGCAGGAGTCCCGCGGCCTCAGAGCCAGGAAGATCCGCCTGGCCCTGTCAGGACGCTGACTCTCACCCCGCTTTTCCATCTGAGGCATACCTGAGACGGCTCCTAAGCTGCAGGGCCACCTGCTGAAGCACACGCAGGCCCCACGCGTCGCATGCAGCGCGAACAGGTTCAAGCAGGATCCTTCCCACCATCCTCTTACCATATAAACCAAAGCAGGAGCGTCGTCCATCTGAACTGCGGGGTGAATAGGTCCCTCATTTTCCCTCTGTCTTCCTGTTTGGGGGGGGAACAACATTATTATTATTATTTTATTATTATTATAACATTTCTATGCCGCCCCTTGCCGAAACCTCGGGGCGGCTTACAACATGATAAAATACATTGAAATACAATAGTACATAATAAATTACCATTAAATATAACAATACAAAAAATACATTGATTTACAAATACAAAATTAAAATTATCAGTATAAAATAAAAATATAGGAGGAGAAAGAGAAGGAAGAAGAAGTTGCCCAGGCCAGATCATATGTTTTAACAATTGAAATGATGTTTAAATAAAAAGGTCTTTACCTGGCGCCGAAAAACCAGTAACGACGGTGCCAGGCGGACCTCTTTGGGGAGTGAATTCCATAGGTTGGGCGCCACCGCAGAGAAAGCCCTCCTCCGGGTACTTACTCTCCTAATTTCTTTCATGGAGGGTTCCCGGAGAAGGGACTCTCCCGCAGATCTCAAAGGGCGGTCGGGCATATACGGACGTTATTGTCCAAAATGAAGGGGACAATTGTGCAGGTGCGGGCTTCGTGCAGGAACTTTTCGGCACGGCTTTATGGATCCACACATGCCAGCAGCTCCATATCCGCCTTCATCCTTTATGGCCCTCCTCTGGGTTGCCCTACTCTCAAACACCATGGATGGGAACCAGAGACAGGGCCTTTGTGCCGTGGCCCCAGGTACTGGCAGCTTTTCAAGGCGCTGCACCTGGTCCCCTGGCTGCGCGAGAGGCGGCAACGCCAATGTGATTTTAGCAAGTTTTTCTTTTAACCCCGAAGCTGCTCTACTCTCCTGTTACCTTTTAATCGTCTTATTGATAGTTTTGCTGATGTGTTTTTATTGCTGCACATTTTTTTGCAAGCGATGGTACAGCTCCTTGGCTATTTTATAGAAAGGTGGGGTATCCATGGTGGGAATGAAGGGATAAAAGCAGAGTTGAGCCAAGAGACCCACATCCATCCATTCAAGTTCTCTGGGCCTTGGTAGATCTTTCGGCCGGCTGTGAATATCCATTTTCTTTCCGCACCCACCTGCCTGGAGATGATCAATTTCCCGAGAGGCATCGGAGCCCCATTCTCGGTCGCTATCCGTTTCAATGTGGCGATTGCCTTGTCTTGGTTCCCAGATAACACGTCGTATCGCGCACTTTCTGGCAACCACTGAGGGAGCAAAGCAAGCCCATGAGGTACAAGAAATGGCCCCCAAAAGACAGAGAGACTGTTCTGAGCACATTGTTTAAGAATATCGGACCGAGTATCGCATCCCGTTCCTGCAGGAGCCAACCAGCCACGCTGCGAGGAAGCCGGCAAGCAGGGTGTGGACACAGCCGCTCCTTCCCACGCGTGCCCCCCGGGGACTGCCACCCATGAGGATTCTGCCTCTGGTACAGGAGGCAGCAGGTGGCCATCGCGGCTGGTGGCCCCTGATGCACTCGTCTTCCTCCATGAATGGACCCACTCCTTGTCAAAGCCGCCCGAGTCGCCCACCATCACTCCAACATGGGGCGGTAAATTCCGCAGCTGGAGGGAATGCCACGTGCTTTCCTTCCCAGTGAGGGCAGCCCTGAGTCCTCGTGCCGCCAGAAGGAACACTCACAAAACACAGGACGGCGAAGAGCAGCAGTGGGAGGGCCGACAGGATGAGCAGCCAGCGCCAGCCGAGGGTGGGCATGACGAGCACTGCCAGGAGGACCTCGAAGACGGTCCCAACGGCCCAGAAGACCTGCGTGTGCAGAAGAGGAGACGGCGGGCCTGCTTGAACGTGCCCTCCACGCCTACAGGGGGGCCGTCCGGGGTGCAGCGAAGGCAGGGCTCGTGGAGGGCATCGTGGCACGCTCAGATGCCTCGTGCAGCGGAGCGGCCAGCCTCGCAGAAGCTCTGGGGAGGGGGAAGATTAGTTTCCCCAGCCATGAGATCATGCTGGGGGCTTGCGGGCTCCCTGCTCTCGGAGGGGCAGCTGAGACCCATCCACTTTGCACACGGCCTGCTCCGGATGGAGAAGGGGTTTGCCAGGGCTGGCTGGCGGGCACGGGTGCACAGAGTCGCTTTTAGCTCTGGATGCTCTCGGGGGACGTGGCTGTGGGAAAGCATCGCAGCGAAGGTCGGCTGTGCCACATTCGCCACTCTCCCACAGGTGGCACCACACCCCAGCAGAGCCTGGAGACGAATCGCCACGTTAAAATACGCAGAGGAGAACCGAGGAGCGAAAGCAAGGAAGAAGCCGGCATCATAACCCATGTACTCATCTTTAACACAAGCCACTGCTGCTGCAAACAGGCTAATGTGGCTACCCTTCCAAGACGTCAGTCACATCTAATGAATTAGATCGCATCTAGTAATTAGCTCGAAAACTCTCTGAGGTTGTATGCCAGATGAGAACTGAGCTGTGTGTTCTGCCGAGTACTGGTTGTTTTCCCACCTACCTCGATTAGCAAAATACATTTTGCTCTGGATTTCATTGGGAGGAATTCTGCATATAACGTGACTCTGGAGAGAAGAAAAACAGAGGGAAAAGGATCGCAAGAACACACACGAGCTTCTTCCTGAAAATGCCAGCAAGAGATCTTAAGGTAGCATTTTCCTAGCAAACATGTTGATGGATGACAAACTTTTTTTCCATATGATGCAGTGCAGAAACCATGAGCTAATTCCAGATATCAACCTGAGATTCGTGTCTAAGGTTTAGAAGGCAGCAGGGGGTGGGGGGCAGGGGGACTTTCTGGGAAAATGTTTTTAAGATGCCATAAACATGTCCATGGATATATATACATGCACACATATATACAAGGTCCAAATCTACTGAAAAACTATTTCATTGTGACTTTGAGCTCTGAGGAAATGCTACCTCCAGCTTTGATTCTCAGAAGGGCTGGCAATTCATGAGCTACTCTGCATCTGATCATTGTTAAGATGAAAGTGAGAAACGGGTTTCTTGTACACGAATGAACATTTTGAAAACTGTAGGTTCTACTTTCATATACCAAACAGAAAACTGTTAAATGGTTGTATGGGTAAAGACCCATTATAAACCAATCCTGTGCATAGTTGTGCACAAGTCACTTCCACTGTTCTGAAGGAAGTGGTGCTGGATATTATACACAAATATGGATCGGAGCAGAAAACACTGTTCTACAAGCAAGAGAAGGGGGATATTCTGGGGACACAGCTAACCAGCAACGACTCTCCTGCTGGAGCCACACAGGTTGGCAAGACTGCATGAAGGGGTGGCCTCCCAGGCAGGCTCGGTCCTGGGCAGCTGATATCCCAGGATCCAGAGCCCTGCTCAGTACTTTTCCCCATGGATACTGGGCGGGGAATCCATCACTCTGTCGCGGTCCTGAAAGCCTGGGTTCCACACAGCTCACTTTTTTAGTGTAACCAATAGCAAGAGAGGAACATCAGCGAAGAAGGTGAAAGGTTACTTACGACTGGGGAACCCCTCCAATGCCAAAGCCCGCGAGGCCCCTCAGCACCAGAATCCAGCTGTAAACTGGTGCGAAGCCACTGAGAATCCCATAGTACAAGGTCCAAAGGACACTGATCTTTAGCCCCTGCACAGGAGACAGATACGGGGACGGGGATTTGTAACTCTCCCAAATGGAAGGTCCCGGAGCTTTCCTTCAGCACTGAAAGCCAAACCCGTGTGGCTGCAGAACGCCCATCGAGTGGTCCCTCAAGCAGCAATCCCGCTCAGGTAACCCTCTCCCTCTCTTTCAGTGCTCCTGTGCCATGAACTGCAAGGCAACCAGAGATGATGCAGAATGGAATCAAGAGGCCTGCAAAAGGCAGAGAGGAGCCGAGTCCAGAGCAGAGGTGAGGACCGGGGACAATCTCCCTCGTTCACGTCCAGCTTTCTCTTCCCAGGGACCCCGAGTCTGGCCCAGTCCGGATGTAACGCCAAACCATGACAAACAGTTTGGACATGGCACAAAACGCCCGGTTTAGCGTCGCTAGAGTGAACACGGGCTCCGTGCATGAGCCTCAGCCCCAACCTCCTCTGGCACAGCCTCGAGGAAATGGTCAGAAGCTCCCACCTCCAGTTCAATTAACTGCAGTTCAGTATGCCCTCTGAACCTTAACAGATTCCATAAACAGTGGTTTGAAGTTGGCTGGCTTATATTAACCACAGCTACAATTCATCATGGTTTGTCCAGGTTCAAGCAACACTGCAAGCTGTGATTAATCTAAAGCAGAAGCGAACGTTTCCGAATTCCTCCTTGCAGCTGTAGCCAGAGGAGATGGGAGAGCGTGTGAGGAGAGGCTTGCTACAGCTCAGTCTCGTGACATTAAATCTGCGGTCATGTCCAGCCCAGTCTTTCTGCATTTCCCTGTTAAATACTCCAGAGAAATGCGGGACACTTACCGTTTTTCTGCCATACTGGTCTGAAATATTTCCCCAGAGTGTTGAACTGAACATCATTCCCATGAAAACCACCTGCAGTGAAGGAAATACTGTGTTACTTTGCCTTTATTTTGTTTTGTTTATTTATATTCTTTTATTTCTTCTAACTTTATATTGTTCACTGCTCTGGAATCTGTCTGGTTGTGGAGCAGCACAGAAATACAATAAACAGAGTCACAGCTAGATGACAGAATACTCGTTAGTCAGAGGCTGCAACAGACAAAAAAGCTATGGGGAATGAGCATTCCAGCCGAAGTATGGCAGGATCTCAGAGCTGGAATCTGATGCGAGGAGCACCTGGAGCCCGAGCAGAGTTTTGGCAAAAGGCCCCCGTGCGGGATGGCCAATATGCCCGGGTTCAGGAGAGGAGAACTCTGCACCAGCAGCTGATCGTTTGGAGGCGATAACACATAGCTATCCTCATAGCAGCCTTGGACGGTTTTTCAGGGGCAGAAAAGTCATCCAGTTAGCTTTGGGCCCAAACGTGAAAGATTACTGATCGATTTGGTTTATAATCTGCGGAAGCACACGTGGCGCTAATCGGATGGCACCGCCTCTCCAGAAAGCATCCACCAGCCCGCACCTGAGCCTGGGCCACCACAGGTGTGCCAGCTGACCCCAGCACTGTATGGCTTATCTGTAAAGAGGTGCAGCTAAGGGATTTTAACCTTCCTAGAGTGGGGTCCCGTAAGAAAGCAGATGGGCATGTGGAGACACACACACTCACACGCCCCTGTAAGCAAGCCCCGTATCCCAGCACCTACATTGAGGGTGGGGATGGGCAAGTCAAGCTGCAGTGGTTTGCACGTGAAGGAAACGGTGGTAGGATTTATCCCGGAATAGACATGCACTGCACCATTTCACAGTTCCCTCGCTCGGAGAGCACGGGCCTCCCGCACACCCCCGTGTTCCCAAACTGGTGAGCTTGCTGGAAGAACCGGGCTGTGGCTCTGAGCAACCCACAAGAAAGAGTGGGAAAACCTGGTATTTTCCTACCGATGTGAGCAATGCAACCTGCCAGGTGGGAAGTCGCCACTCACAATGGAGCTGAGGCGCCAGGATGCTGAGGATCATCATTTCCATGGCATCAGCCATCTGGAAAGGCGAAAAGGAACAAGGCGTTACCCCGGCCGCCTGCCTGAGAACGAGGCTGCCCTGGCGGCTTCCTCGGCAGCTTCTCTTCTGAGTCCCGTTTTCTAGGCTGGGGGTGGTGGGGGGAACAGGGTAAGAAATGTATGCAGCAGGTGGCTGGCTATTAATTCCTGATCCCTGATCAAGGCCTGACTTTGACACTGAAAGCTTGATCAACCTCGCCAAAGTTGGTGGATTCCTGCTACTTGCCCATGCTAAGCCCGTCAGGATGGAGAGCTTCCACTGGAACTTGCCAAATCCAATAGCTTCCACCGCGTCTTCCACCATAAACGTATCTGGAAGAGAATCGGGTGCGTCAGAACATGAGAAGGGCCAGGCTGGATCCCGGGCGTGGGCACCACCGCATCCTCCTGCCCGTGCCCCCGTGGCTGGCGCTGAGGGCGTAGCGCCTCCCAAACCGGATGCACACCTCCCGTGGTTGACAGCAGGGTGAGCAGCTGGCGGTGCTCCAGGTCTTGGGGCGTGGAACTCGCATCAGCCCTTCCCAGCCCAGGCTGCCATGGGCCAGTGATCAAATTGAAGATAACCCTCTGAAGCGCAGTTCTTTTATCGAAACTGCAGTGATATCAGAACCGTGCGAACTCCAGGTAGCCGCGAGAGCAAGCAGCAGGAATGCCAGAGACCCTCGCACCTTGCCTCCTTGTGGGGTCAAGGACTGGGTCTCCCGTCTGCTCCCCCTCTCATTCTGAAAGCCCTTCCGCCCCTTCCAAAGCAGGTGGGTTCTCACACTCAGCCTGAGCAACTTCACGAGGCAGCCTTGAAACCTGCTTCCCCTTGATGATTTTGGTTGCTCTTCTCTACCTTTTCCGGCAACTTAGACATGGTGACCAGCACTGCACACGGTATTCCAAGCATGGTCTTTTCCATAACTTTGTACAGAAGCTGAATAATACTGGCAATTCTGCTTGCAATTCCTTTTCTCATTGTGCCCATCTTAGGCTTTACCCTTTTCCGAGCAGCTGCGCACTGAATCAACCTTTCCCTCAAGCTGCCGCCACAATCCCAAGAAGTCGTTCTGGTCTAGCACCTCCGACTCAGACCTCACAAACACATATGCCAGGTGGGACTCACACTGGCTTAGGGAACCATCAACACACCAACTTTCCCAGGTGGAAATGTTCTGTCCCGGCCGAGTGCAAGGAGAGGCCCTGTGGTCGCGAGAGAGGGGCTTCTGGAGGTCTTGGGCTCCCAGCCTGAGGTGCCTCAGAACCAGGACTACTCCCAGGCCCCCTTGCAGCCTCTGAGGTCGGGGCTTACGCAGGTCCTGAAAGGACTGCACCCCAAGCCCTCACTTCGGTCAACCGTGCCAGGTGCTTAATGAAATCAAGTCGCTGCAGTGTGAATTGAGACTCGGTGATTAATCCAAATCGTGCCAAGATTCAGCAGCCCCCATAATTAGGACGAGCTCCCCAACCAAAACAGGCCTTGAACTTGCATCTGGAAAACTGGCGGCAGCTTGGACTGTAAACTTGTGATGCAAATATATTTGCATCACCAAATATATACTGAAGTGGGCATGTGTATGCCTTCCTTTAATTAACTTATTTATTCATTTAAAAGAAGAAGAATTGGCTTATTAATGAACATCTTATCAATGTTGGTCTTACTCATAGCTTACACTCAATACCATCACCTTCTAATTTCCTTTCTAAGCACACGGGCAGCTTGCTCCATTCTCAAGCTCGGGAGCCGTTGCTCAGCTCACCGTCGGTGGGGTTGGCGAACTCCTTTGGCACCATCCCTGCATCCTCCAGCTCCACAGCTTCTAACTCTGTCTGGATGCCTTCGATTTGCACTTCGTGCTCTCCCGAAATGGCGTCCTCATCAGACCGGGCACTTTCCCCAGTGCGACGGAACTTGACGACCCTGCCAAGTGGAAACGAGAATGAAGACATCATCCAGGAGGAAACAGGCACGTGTCCCCCGACGCATGAGTGTCACTGTTGGCGGCTCCTCGGATCGGTGGCCTCTTGTCTCCCATGATACACCCAGCAGGCCCTTCCCCAGTGTGGGGACCGTGGAAACGTTGCCCTAAACGTCCTGCCAACCACACCCAGAAGCTCCCTTGGTCTCCAGCATCTGGCTCTGTGGGATGGACCCAGCGGCACGGCTCGGCACAGGAGAAGGCTCCCCACTTCCCGCTCCAGCCGAAAAACACTGCTTCCGGCCACTGGTCCGAGCGGCTCCATGCTTCCTCCAGAATCAGAGGCAGTGCGGCCACCAGTTGAGGGGGAACCTGGGCAGGAACCGTGGTGTCTGGCTGGCCCCTGCGCGGACAGCGGGCTGCCCTCAACCGGCCCTGGACCTGAGCCAGCTAAGGGGCTCCCCTGACGTCCTCCTGCCTGCAAGCCCCAGCAATAGCTGTTCTTCGTCTGGGCTTCAGGTTCGTGCATCTTGCACTAGTTCCCTATCAAGAAGAAAGGCGTTCTGCAAAGCGTGGTGGGCTGCAGCCGGTCCGCCAGACAGGCGTTTCCCGTGCGTGCATCGCAGGCCTGGCCCAGGGCTCTCTCCGTGGTCAAGCTGTCAAGCCCCAGCCTTTCGTTGTGCAAGCCACACACAGGCAAGGATTTCCCTGGGCTGCAGACCAGGTGCTCCTACTTCCCAGACAAGGGGACTAGAACCCAGATCTCCTGTGGCCCAGTCCGGCACTCTTGTCACCAGGCCTCGCTGCCTCCAGGCAGAGCGGCGATCTGAGCAGTACGACCCAAGTCCCCTCTTTTGAACTCGGACAAAGATGGCCCTAGAGGATTTTGCTTTGCTGCATTGCACGTGAGACTTGCAGCTAAAAATACTGAACTGAAATGTAATTAATAACAAATCAAGAAGGGGGGAACTCAGCATCAAGGTGGGGGTGCCTGGGAGACTCGAGGCTATTCCCTCCCCCACGAAGATGCCACAGATTTCTCTCCCCAAGGCCGGCAGAACCTCCAGGAGCCTCGCTGAGCTCCTGGTCCCTTTGCAAAAGGGGCAGAAGGGCAGCGCCAGAGGAACCGGGGCTCAGTGCGTGCTTCGCTCTGCTTTCAGGGAGAGGACGGAGGGCCGAGCCAAGCCATCTTGAGGCATGGAGGGCACCTTGCACAGAAGAAGCGGAGGCGGGAGCCGCTGGCCCGGACGGAGCAGAGCCCTGCACAGCTGCAGCACCCTCGTCCTGGGTAGGTTTACTCGGAGGTAAGCCCCGCCGCCGCAGGGCGAGGAAGGCGGCGCGCGCCTTCCCCTCGTGGGCCTGCCCGGCAGGGCTCCGAGACGGTGCGCCCGGGCGCGCTGGGCAGCCCCTGCCGGTCCGCCTCGGCGGGGCTCTCCCCGGGGCCACGGAGGCCGGCGGCGCGCCCGCCTGCCCGCCACGCTGCGCCGATCCGCGGGCCGCCCCGCTGGGCCTTACCTGCGGCCCCGCAGCGGGAGCCCCCCGGCGGGCAGCAGCGCGCACGGATGGGGCCGGCGCGGAGACGCGCAGGACGCGCCGCGCGAGAGGGCCCTGCGCAGCGCTCGCCGAGGCGCCCCCGCGGGCGCCCCGCCGGCCTCCCCCGCC